TTTTACAATATCTCTTGCCTTGCCGCCCCCAACTAGGGGCATAGAGCAGGCTCAAGTCGCAACTGCGAAAGATTTTTATATCCAAATTTCTTTTTTTCTGACAAAGAGTAAAGAATTAAATTGGGAGACTAAGATGGACCATTTCTGGCTTTTTTGCCTTCATCAGTTAGCCATACCCTTTTTATGGGATTCGAACCTGTCAGAAAAAAGAAATTTGGATATAAAAATCTTTCGCAGTTGCGACTTAATATATATATATATATTAATGGTATCTTAGTCAATCTGAAGTATCTGTTTTTATTTGGTCCTGATGAAGCCAATTAATTTCTACAGTATTTTAATTACAGTATTTTAATTATGACTTGTCCATTTAAAGATAAAGGGAATTTCCCTAGTTCAAGCATCACACTGTAAATTCCAATTTTGTATACTGTTTACATGAAGTAATGTTTCCTCTCACTAGCAGCAGATTTCCTCCATTAGCATATTTGTACTTTGTCATATTTTATCCATATGGAATTCTATTGCACCTACTATCAAGAAATCAGGAAGAACTGCAACCATATAGTTATGTTCACTTTGAACTACATCATCTAGTAATGTAAGAAAAGCAATGTTCTTTTAATTATCCTGATTTATTTAAAAAGAATAGGATGGATACAATATTGATATACTGGGAGATTAGGTGTACATTTCTAGCTTCATGAGACTGGCAATTAAGAGGTTACAGAATATCTTAAATCAGTTCTACCTCTTTATTTCCTTTTCTTTATCTTCAGAGGATCCACATAGGACTGGAAAGTATAATTTGCTGCTAATTCATATTCACCAAGCATATTCTATTTGGAACATTTCTCAATAATATTTTATAAGGTTTATATTCTACCTTTCCTCTAAGAAAAAAAAACCCAGCTCAATCACCATTTTATCTCCACCAAAACACTTTGAGATGGATTTGGATGACAGTGTGATCCAGATTCACCAAGGGAGTTCCCCTGGCTGATGGTGAACTTGAATCTAGGTCTGCCAATTCCCATGCAATACCTTAACCACCATATAATTTTATACATATACACACTTCCCATATGGTTCCCTTTGTGCTTTTTAATTCTATCATTGTTTATCTTAATATCTCACAGAAAAAAGTCTTTCACGTGGCAATATGAACAGATGAAAGACTAAGACAACTCTGAAGGAATATTCATACTTTTTGTATATATTATGAGTCCTTTATATGTTATGTTGGATTTGAGTCTGTGTTTCAACCAACAATCTTAAGTCTGTTGGTCACATGTAAATAATTCACCGAGCAATGTTAGGATTGGTTTCTATTTAATAGAGTGTATACCCAAGAAAATATGCATATAATTAAAACTGTAGTATGCAAAGCAGCTCGAAAACATCATATTGGCAAATGATGATTCATCCTGCAGAAAGAGAGACCAGGTGTGTCAATTCATTCATAACCTGGAGCACATCTGCTGGATGGCATTCCATAAACAAAGTAATAGAAAGTCTTCTTTAATCACTGTTTATTCATATCATTTAAAAACAAACATGGATGCTACAGGATGTCAACAGCATGAATCAAGCATGAAGTATTCTTTCGTCATTTACCTTCCCACTTTATTCTCTTCCACTCCTCAGGACAATTCAGAAATCTGCAGTGACTATTTAGGGAGAATGAATACTTCAGATAACCTTTGTAGAGCAGCTATTAACACAGTGTAAGAATGCATAGAAAGATAATTCAGAGGCCTCGACCTCATAATAAAGAATGCAGTCAGAAGCTATTTGTTAGTTCTCTTGTCACACAAGAATTTCTTCTTTATATAATCTGAATTACAATAAATCTCCAGTTTTGCCACAGATAAATGATACTATGGAATACTGTTAATACTCATGGAATGTAATCTTGGTCATATAAAACAAACACAAAATTGGATGTAAAAAAAATTAAAATTATTTTGGTAATATGGGAAAAATATTAATGTTAATCTCTTCTATTCAGCTACCTATGACTTCACAACCTACACAATGACTACACGAGGTCCAAAATTTGTTGTATGGCTGTTAACAAGTCAAAAATTGTGATTGTAAGAGCCCTAACTTGTCATTCTTCATGTTCCTGAGATCCTACTCCACGTAATATATATAATATATATAAAATTAATATATATAATATATATAATATATATAAAATTGCAAATATATGTATAGTGTATCTTGGCTGAGTGGCACAAATTTAGCAATCATCTTAACATTTTCTACCTTCCAGGAACACTTTCCATATGATTTATTTTGCTGAAGCATTCATGTATATTACAGAGAATCCTGGAGTTAATTTTATAGTACAGAACCAGGTTTCATATGGCTGCATTTTGCTAGGGAATGTTAAAGACAGAGGGGAAGTTACTTGAGATATGTTTGCCTTCTGCTAATGTGAAAATAGCTATTTAACCAGTGATGTGTTGGTATGCATTCTTAATTGGTTTGGGAAGTGCAATGAGTACCAAAAACAATAAATACCAAACAATTTTTCCCATAAGGAATAATGTAGTAAGTCACAAGGCAGCTGACACTGACAATTTTTAGATGGTGTGTTGAATACCAAACAAATGATGAGTACTAGGACAAAATTTTCACATCAAAATGCATTGAATACCAAATTTGATAAGTTTCAAAGCAGTTGAGTACCAAGGTACCACTGTACTGCTGGTTAAAATCAATCCAAAGAATTCATGCCAACCATTTCTAGGTACTGTTCATTGCTATTGTTTTTAAACCTCTGCCCAATTGTGGCTGACAATAAAATGATTAGTGTCAATAAATACTGTATTGTATATAACAATGTCTCAAACATCTTAAGACTTCAATGTTTCAGAACTGAACTGGATAACTTGTAAAACCTAAAACTATATTTTACAATTTTTGTGTATGCCTCATTTGGCATACACAACACAGCTTAAGACTACCAACTTGACGGAAGTCTTAGTTCCTTTTGCTCAGTAGTAACAATTCTTTTGTTTTCTTAGCTTTTCTCCATATTAAAAATAATAAATTCTAGTTCTTTAAGATATAGCCTATTTCTATTGATTATTGACTATCTAGTTTTATATTTAAGGATTTGTAACAGTTTTATTCTCTAACCTGAACTTAGTATACAGGTTTCTTGACATACACACATATATCCTGAGCCCATCCTGGGGGGGGGAGGGAATTGTTAATTTCTTCACTTTCTAATAAAAAGATGCTCATGTCATTAGTTCTGGAAAAAATAGTAAATTGACACTAGACAGTTTATTCTTAAAGGACTTCTCATCGCTAATAAAAAAATTAAAAGTTCATATTAAAAATGAGGTACTCCAAAGAAGTTGAACAGAAACCATAACTCAGCATTTTAAAAAAGCATAGAATTTCTGTTGCAGTAAGACCAGCTTTTGAGACATTTTAAGAACAAAAATTAGGCCAAAATTTGTTTCCTATTTATCATTCCTAAAAAATTTAACAAAATTTAGACCTTGATCTATTTTTGCACAGGTTTAATCACAGTATCCATGATTATATCATAAAAGACTCTTTTTAGTCAATATGAAACATCATTTCTAGCCTATATCAGATAGAATTTTGAAATCTGAACATTTAATTATATTATATGTGCTTAGAACAGTGTTTCTCAAATATGGCAACTGTAAGATATGTGGACCTCAATTCTCTAACCAGCACATCTTAAAGTTTCAAAAGCACTGCTTTCAAACAATATTTTTCCACACAAAACTAAGCAACTTACTATTTAGGAACAATATTTATTGGACAAAAGTTACACTGTAAAACAAACAAAATGAAGAAAAAATAAAAATAAAGTTCAATAAAAAAAGAAGCAATATAATCAAAATTGAACTACAGATTTATAATAATCTGTCTTGGTTAAGCTTCAGCCATAGAATCTTCACATAAATAGGACAGCAAATTATCTATGGAGATTCTCAGTCATCCAGGTCATAGTTGTTCCGAAGATGCTTTTTTACGAGGCAACTAGACTTTCTTGTTCTTCTTTAAAGACATTTCACCTCTCATCCAAGAAGCTTCTAAAGCTTCTTCAGCTCTGACTGGAAGGTGGGGAATGGAAGGATTTATACTCCTTGCAGGCATCTGATCATTTGTATTCTTTTAGAGAGTCATTGAGGCCACCTGGAGGTTTATCTGTCTTCATGGTGTTTGGCTTTCTTTACATTGTTTTGTTACAACATAAAAGTTTTGGTGCATGATTAAAATTCTCCAAGGTCATTTAAATAAATTTAAAGCTTTGATATAATTCTGTTTATCCTACTTTTATACTAGTAAAGCTTTATTTTTTTT